GGGGGGGGGGGGGCAGTTTTCCCTTTACTAGAGACAGTCTTGGGGACTGTGAAAAATGTAAACTGTAATAGAGCTGTAATGCCTTTCAAAGGTTGGATATATACCACCTTTTGTTTTTCCAGTGTGTTCATGACTACCGTCATCATCGTTAAGCGCCGCCACCATCCTGACCATCCGCCTCGACGCATCATCACGGCCATTACGCCTTTAAGCCGGTGCCCCGGCCGTTCGTCCGTAAAGTCCTTCCACCTGAGTTATGCATGGACCCCCTAGATCCGGCCGGGCGGGGACCGGGCCGCCCCGCCCCGCCCAAGCCGACCGCGACCATTAGTCCACCAGTCGAACTGTTCGGGCGGGTGAGATGGGGCGGCGGGCGGGGTACACTAAACCAACTCTGCTTTATAAGCGATTTGCGGACGATGCCAGAGAGATAGGCGACAACGTTTGCGTTCTGTATTATTACGCAAATTCGAGTTATTTCACCACCGCTCGGCTTCGAAGCCATAAAAAAAATGTGGTCTGTAAAGTTTTGCAACTTTTTACCTCTACCACCACCTCCTCCATTTATTTTTTATTTTTTTTAAATAGGGAATTGGTAACCTCGATGACTCAGCTGCTGCGCTGCGCCGCTCCGCGCCCCTCAGGTGGGCTGCTCTCTCCAGTTTCCGAGTCTGCTGGGCCCGGCGGGGGAGGGAGAGAAAGGCTGAGCAAGCCGGGGGGAAGGGGTATCATCGACGAGCGAAAGGGAAAAGACGAGCAGGAAATTGGTCCGATAACGGGAGTTGTACCGCGAGTTTTCGTCGTGGATTGCACACTGGCGTCTTCATATCGCGTAGAGCGAGAGCGTGACGGGTGAGAGCACTACAGGGAGGGTGGACGGGCGCGCGCCAAGAGGTGTCCTATTTCAGATTCCGGGGGACAGGCTGCGGAACGAGGCTCATCGAGAGCGGGAGTGGGTGAAAGTGAGACTGGAGAGGGAGACGCAGAGGGAGAGAAAGAGAGAGAAATAACGAGAACGAGAGAATGTGAGTGAGAGGGGGCGGTCGAGAGAGGGAAGCACCTACCGGCCGGCCACTGTGCCAGGCAGACGCGGGTCATAAAGCAAAGCAGGTCCTCGTGCTGCCGAGCGGCCGGCCATCAGAGTGCCATCGCTGTTATGGTGTCGAGCAAAGGGCGGCTTCCTCTGCTTCGTTTTATTCTTTGAAATGAGTTTTGGGAGGGTGACATGAGGGAGACAGCGAAAAACCTTTGGTTTTCAAACTAAATAATAAAATTTGAATGTATCCATACCTGGCCCCATATCCTTCGGTGGGTGGCTACTGAAGACTCCGCGACATTCAATCCTGGAGACAAAAGAACACATATCATAGTTTGTTGCATTGATGGAATAATCTTTACTAGAGTCGGATTGACCTCAGGAGAACATAATTTATAGCTGTCGCTGTCCAATACCCAAAGTGTCGCACGGTGTTGCACTGGCAGACGTTTGGGGCCGCCAATACTTGCCACTGGCGATAATTATTATTATTTT